CGATTATCTTCTGTGTCTGTGTTAATTGGTTTCCCTTTTCTTTGTTGAAGAGGGTCTGTGCAATCCTTCTGCCTAGTCCACCATCTTGCCGGAACTCTATTTTTATTCTTAAGGAGAGTAGATGTGTAAAGAGAATATGTTAATAGGATAAACCATAGGATAAACCTGATATGTTTAATATTAATCCCCTTCCAAACCAAGTGTGAATGTATTACTAAGAATGTTGCTGTTCTTACCTTTGTTGCCATTATTTTCATATTTCTGTTTTTCCTAAGATATCTCCATATAGCCTCAAGACCTTTAGCACATACTTCTATCGGGGGTTCTGCCATGGGGTTTTCCATCAGTGTCAGAGTTTTCATATTGAGTAGACTATCCAAATTCTCTGGAAGATGGGTGAGCAAGTTGTCCTCAAGCAACAGTTCTTTCAAAGCTGAAAAAAAAAAAAATTATTGGTGGATTTGTCTTAAGAACAGAAAAAATCAGACATGGATCCTATAGTCCAGTCACTTTGAAATGTTTGTTTCCTGCTGTGCCATGTAACAAAAGGCATCAGATTTAATGATCTGATGTATAACACATTTGAGTTCTCTTCTTTATAACTCATTTGAGTTATAATTCACTGTTGAAGTCAGTGGAAATAAATATGAGACAGAAAAAATAGTAAACTTTTGAAAGTTATGAGAAAATTTAATTCCTCCAGAGACTAGAACGTATGGTCTAAGAATGTACGGTCAGGAGCATCACTTAGGAGTGCTGCATACCCACCCCAAGCCAAACTTTTTAATGTCTTGTAGGTAGGTAGTAGCTGCACATTCTCCAATTCCTTCTTCCATCTTTTATTAAATGTGAATAGCCATATTTTGAAAAAATTGTCTATAAACCTGGGAATTCAGAACACTATGGGAAAAATGTTTTTTATCTTTAAAACCCCAGTAGGTGTTAAGCAAAAGCTTGCTAAGTGGATGGATTGATTGATGGATGGACAGATGAAGAATGGGTTAGCCTAGTGGAAAATATTTGGATGTTTAACTGTGAATCATATGATATCCCATATCAGTCCCATAGCTCCAAAAGTCCCCCTTCCTAACTTCACCATTCTGGGTCAATACTTTTATTTGACTTAGTGACCAAGATACAAATTTACTGCAGAATCCAACTTCAAATACTGACATATACTAGATACTCAGCAAATTATTGTTGATGGTGTATGAATGAATGAATGTTAATTTTCTTAGCATTTGCTATTTACTGTTTGTTCAAATTCCCACTACAATCTAACTGCTTTTGTGAGGTTCTTAGCTGTACTAACCAGGACACCTAGCCTTCCCATGTTGCTGGTGAGCAACTGTGTGGAGGTAATGGTTTAGGACTTAGTCCTCCAAACACTGGGAAAGGTCTTTATAAATAAAGGAAGCCATTAATCATGGGAAATGCTGGTAGTGCAATAGATAAGCACTCAGCTCTTACCAAAGCATTGGATTTTCAACCCACCCAGCATCTCTGCAGGAAAAAGACCTAGCAATGTGCTTCAGTAAAAATTATGGGGCAGTTCTACTCTGTCACATAGGATCACTATGAATGGGAGCAGACTCAGTAACAACCACAAACTCTGATAGGCTGTGGATCTATTCAGATTCCTCACCTTGTGCTTGGCAAATGGCATCGGGAAGTTGCTGAAGCCTATTGTGGCGGCAATCAAGAATTTCCAGGTTAGGCAGTAAACCCAAGGACTCGGGCAGGTACTCCAGGTGATTGTTCTCTATATGCAGCTCTTTAAGACTCTGAAACAATGTGAGAGAGTATCATAATGAGCCTTAACTTGATAAGTGAATTATAATAACCACAATCACCTGTGGGTTCCTATGACCTTTAATTGGGGGGGATTATGCATTGGAATAAAGAAAAAGATATTTAAAGGACCATCTTCATGAAATAAAATAATTTCTGAGTAAAGTTATTGGTCTCATTTCCCATGTAAGCAGGGAAACGAGATTTGGGAATTTAATGCATATTTGTTTTACTAGAATTCATGGAAAATAATTTGGATCATTTAACTACATTTGTCATTTTCTCCCTTTCAACAGCTAATTTTATGTGGCAGTTGCTACAGAATTATATAATTGCCTCAAATATCAACTCAACATCATCTCAGTAGAAATAGCCAAAATGCTACTTCCAATTTGATGTGTTTGGATGTATTTGATTTTACTATTACAAATTAACTGGGCAAAAATTTAATGTTTGCATTTTTCCCTAAGATTCTGGAGAGTGTGGTGTGGCATGTACAAGGAGCAAGATGACAGAATAAAGGTGTTCTGAACACATGGCAAAGAGATGGAGAACTAGGAATAGGAACCCTGTATGCTATACCTGCTACTGCTCAGATCCACGAGTAGGGTTGTGCAGGGGTCCACACCTAAGTTATCACTATTAGAAGGGCAGGAACAGGAACATGAAAAAATAATAGTTCTTTAAAGGATGCATGCATAATGATACACTGATGTGGCTACTTTGAATGAAGTTAACTTTTTGTTTTGCTAGAATGTACACAGTACTAAGAACTCAACTGCGGTATGAATCTGGTGCAATTAAATTAACCATGATTTGCTGAGCAGCTCAGGGACAGCAAGAGGAGATGCCACCATGCAGGGAGGGAGAACACATAGCCACTCATAGGGAGTACTGGGTACCCAAGAGACAGGCTCCCAGCCACGTCACCTGGATGATATTTTAATTTCAAAATAGTTCAATGTTCAGGGGGCTCCACCAGCTACTCCTCGAAAGGAAGATGGGGCAATCTACTTCCATAGTGATACTGCCTCAGAAACCCAAGGAAGGGTCACTATGAGTAAAATCCGACCCAATGACAGTGAGCTTTTTGAGTTTACTTTTGAAAAGTGGAAATTAAATGGAAAGACATATGACTCCATTTTAGTAAATAAAATGTAATAAAGCACACAGTGGAAGTATGGCATGAAATAGCCAATCGCAACCACAGTAAAAAATGTTCTTTGGGTATTGTTCAGTAAGACAGTGGAAGCCTCAAAATATGAGAACGACTGCTTGTTTGGAGCTTGCTTGGAAATCTAGTATCCCTGATTCCACATCCAGCCTGTAGGGACGTGTTTTCTCTCCATCAGCCAGCCACTTTGAGGAGTCAGTTGCATATGCGTCTGTGCCTGTTCATATGTGGAGGCTTACCTGCAGTTTGTGGATGTGTCCGGGCACACTGGTAAGCTTGATTCCCTGATCTTGCCCCAGGTATAGTCTCTCCAAGGACAATAAAGAAAAGATTTCCTCTGGAAAGGAAAAGAACTGGTTTCCTGTTAATCCAAGACTCTTCAGTTTTGAAAGTGAGCCAATGTGTGGAGGCAACTAGAAGTATTCCAAAAAGATAAGTTTCAGGTCAAGATTATTTTTAACAGTAAAAAAGTAAATTGGGCTTTTGGTTTGGAAGCAGATTGTTAAACACAAAGTAGAACAATTTAGCATTTCACACCGACAAAAAGTTTGCACATGTGTTTACGTGTATAGTACTTATATTTGTAGATCTGAAATCAAGAGTCCCACTTTTTTTCTGAGGTTCTCTGCTCTTCCCTTTTATGCACTGTTTTAACTGGATCAATTTTTAACCTATTGTTTTATGAACTGTAGTGTGCCAATTGCTTGACATGACAACAAGAATTAGAATTATTAGTGTAATATATCATAACATTCAGAATAAATTTAATTATTGGAATTGATAAATTTTGTGACAGCCTAAAAGGCTATTTAACTCACCAATTTTGAAATTTAAATCTCATTTGGAAGTAACCGTATGTTCTTACTAGTTCTAATTAGTGTTCTGTTAAGATTATTGTGATTATATCTTATCATATTCTGCCTTCTAGTGGGTACCCTGTGTAGATACTAGATAGGCATTTCACAGACTCTCAGATTTTTGGAGTTGGAAGGCCTTGAAAAGGTCATCTATTCCAACCCTCTAATGGGATGATTGAAGGAGCTCTGGTGGTGTAGAGGTTAAGGCATTTGGCTACTAACCGAAAGATTGATGATTTGAACCAGCAGCTACTCCATGCAAAAAAGATGAGGCAGTCTGCTTCTGTAAAGATTTACAACCTTGGAACCCAATGGGGGTTGCTATTAGTTGGAATGGACTCAATAGCAGTTAGGTTTTTTTGTTTATTTGTTTGTTTTTAAATAGGGTGATTGAATATCTTCCATAGGTAGCCATCCAGCTTATATTTAAATACCTGGAATAAAAAGCCCATTATCTTCCATGGATACCTCTAATCATGAGTGTTTTTTGTTTTTGGTTTTTTTTTTCCTCTCTTGTTAAGCCAAAATCTTCCTCACTGTTATGTACACCTATCGATCTTTATCTGGCCTTCTGGAACAACATGGAAAATCAGATTCTTCTTAAACTATGTGACACAGTCACCTTATTGATTATCTTACAGAGATACCTCATATTCCTATAGAAAGAAAAAGCCCAGTTGTGTATCTCAGTGGCTCATTCACATTAAAGCATATGTTCTTTAATTAGCTTCATTCCTAACTGAGGATATCCTTCAAAGTTCACTACTTGAGCCCTTGGGCTTTCCTACCCACCCGTTCCCTAATCTGCCATTCTACTTTTCATGAAAATGGCTAGAGCGCAGTTGAGCCCACAACCTCTCTATATCAACCCAAAACCCCATTGCCATGGAGTCTAATATAACACATTGAGACCTATGGTAGTTAAGTTTGTGTGTCAACTTGGCTAGGCCTGGTTGAGTGGCTGGGCAGCTGGATGTAGTATTCCCCATGATGAGACTGGTAATCAACTCCATGGTGGAATCTACTGTGAGCAGCTGTGTAGCTGCCTTAGGGATGTGGTCTGCTTCTTGCATATAAGGAGAAGCCTTGGGGAATGGTCTCTAGCCTATGGCATGCTTGGATCCTGCATGTAGTCATGTCATTGTTCAGCAGCCTGCCATGCTCTGCCAACCTTGGGGCTTACAATGGACTTAAATTAATGGGCTTCCATGTAGTTTGGTAACATCGGGACTGTGCCTTTTTTACTTGTCAACCTTGAGCTTCTCAACCTCAGCAGTCAGCAGCTGTCTGAGTGCCATCCCGGCCCACTGAAGCTAGAGGCAGAGCTGAATTCCAAGGCTGAGGGGCTTTCATGCAGCCCCTAGAGCCTGGCACTTTGAACTTGGACTTAAAGCCTCCAAATTGTAAGAATAAACTCCTGTTTGTTAAGGCCATCCCATTTATGGTATATTTTTGTCAGAGTGGCACTAGGTAACCAGAACAAGACCCTACAGGACAGAGTAAAACTGCCTCATAGGGTTTCAAAGGCTGTTATCTTTATGGAAGCAGATTGCCACAATTTCTTCTGTGGAACAGCTGATGGGTTCTAACTGCTGAGCTTTTGATTAGCAGCCAAACATTTAACTACTGCACCTTCAGGGCTCCTCAGCCTCTCTATAGATGCCTAGAATAAAATAGATAATCGGTGAACAAGTCACTCATAGTTGAAGAAAAAGAAAGCCCAGTATAGGGATAACCTAAAAGTTCTCACACACTTGGAATCTTTCAGAAGACACATGTTTCTCTTTAGTGTATAGGATGAAGGTTCATTTTCCCAAAACTGCTTTAAAATATTTCCAGTTTGTTTGTCTATTAAATCAGATAAAGTCAATCCCAAGAGAAATATGCTTAAACTTACTTGCTTGGCTATGTTAAAATTCTTGTCAGGCCCTTAGATCTCTTTAATGCAAAGCACCTGCACTCAGTGCAGTCTAAAGTAACAGGAAAAAATGTTTAAGTCTTAACTACTTAAGACTTATTTTTAACCATTTCATTCCACCAGCACCATTCACTGCTATCGAGTCAATTCCAAGTCACAGCAACCTTATAGAACAGACCCATAGTGGCTGGTGGGTACAAACCACCAATCTTTTGGTTAGCAGCTGAATGCCTTAACCACTGTACCACCAGAGCTTCTAAGCACTTCATTATAATCTAGTAATTTCAGTCTTATTGCTGCTTACTTAGCTCATGGGTTTAACTCCTTTTTAAAAGTGGACTATCTAAAAAAATTTTTCTGGATATTCAAGATCTAAAAATGAGTCCCCGTAGAGTCATATTAAAGTGTAATGGAAATAAATTTGAATGCACAGGAGAAAACTTCAAAGCTTCAAATGAGGACAATTATTGATGACACTAATTGAGCTATAGCCACTTGAGGTTGAGTCTATTGTCTTGGTTTTCATCATTAACAGAAATGTAACAAACCAACTGCCACAAGTTGATTTGAATTCATGGTGCCCTGCGTGTGTCAGAGTAGAACTGTGCTCCATAGGGTTTTCAACGGCTGAGTTTTCAGAAGTAGATAGGCCTTTCTTCTGAGGTGCCTCTGGGTGGACTCAAACACCCAAATTGAAGTTGGTTATCAGCTGTGCATGTTAACCATTTGCACCACACAGGGATTCCAACAGAAATGGAACACAAAAATAAAATCCATCTAGACCTGCATTGAAAGTCAGCTATTTTTGCATCCATCTAGGCAAGGAGAAGCTACTGAGATGCTGCTTAAAAGACAGGTGCAACTGGCCAGGATTCAAGAGTGAGAAAACTATCAGTTAAATCTTTAGGGTAGGAAAGATAAGGAGTTGGTTTAAAGATAATGGTCATTTAGGAGAGAAATGCATTGGGAGGTTACAGGAAGGGCTAATATAAGAGGAAATTGAGAATAGGGGACAAAAAAATGCAGTCAGAATGACTGAAAAATAAAAAGGAATAGTATGTATAATTTTGTTATGTTTAATATGGTAACATTTAACATGCCCATGTTTCAGCACAATTTGACTTGTAAAACTTGGTATTGGATGAGGGTTATCTTTGTTAATGAGGAGAGAAAGAGATTTCCTTTTTCTTCTCCAGAAAGGATTGAGTATCATTCATAATTCAATAGGAATTAAATCAAGGTGTTATGCTTCCAAAGCACATTTTATATTTTAAGCCTTTACTACAACTGTGGAATGAAAGATTTTGTCTGCTGTTAAAAAAAATGTTCTTACTCAGTGGTGGAATACTGGGGGTAGGGGTGGGGATGGGCAGAGACCTTTCGTGGAACCTCTAAACTCCTACAAGGTAGGTCACTGTCTCAGTAGAGTTTAAAGCTCTAGATTGTCTTCCTAAATCTTAAACTTAACATCAAAATATTTACTTTCTGAAAGGCAGTTTTAAGACTCTTTAGTGACTAGAAGGGAGCTCTGGTAGCATAGTGGCTAAGACACTTGCCTGCTAATCAGACAGCTGGCGGTTCAAACCCACCAGCCACTCCTGGGAAGGAAGGTTGGGCAATCCTACTTCCGTAGTGATACTGCTTCGGAAACCCAAGGAGGGGTCACTATGAGTCGGGTTTGACTCGACGGCACATAACAACAACAACAGTGACTAGAAAATTTTTAAAACACCCCCACACAAGGTTCTGGAATTTGAAAAGTAAATAAAAGATTTTTTAAAGAAGAAAATACCCAGACTTTTATAATGTTGTTCATAGCCGGGAAAAGCAGGCTTGGTCTTTGGTTACAGTTATTGATTTCTCCCTCTACAGTTGTACTTTGCTTTTAACAACAACTCTGTGCTTTTTAATTTCCTAATATTAAAAAGAAACATAAATGCATGAGTGCTCATCACCCAAATTGGTTAATTCATAAAATAAAATGCTACAATAAATGTTCAGGTCCTCTATGAGACTCTATTTCCTCGACTTCCTCCCTCTCTCTTTCTCAGAGGCAACTACTATCAGGAATTGAGTGAGTTTTCTTTCAACTCACAAGTCTATGCTTTTATTACACATGAAAGTATTCATAAAATATGTGTAGGGGTTTTTTTTGTGTGTGTAGTTGTGTGTTATTTTAAAATTTATAAATGATATCTATATTTTTTAAAATAAACATTATAATTTTGAAATATACTCACATTGATATTGATACATATATGTGTATATATATTTCATTTAGTTTAGTATAAAGTACAATTTATTATAATGTATTCTATTTTATAAAAATGCTACAATTTATTTGCACACTCTTCTACTGACTTGTAGATTGTCTCTCCTATCTCACAATGATAAATAATGTTACAATAAGAATTTTTTAACACACCACTCTGTATACATGTAGAGACAAATCTGTTTTTGCAGTTTCCCATGAGTAGAACATTAAGGCCTATGGCAGTATGTGTCAGAAAAGTCTCTGTTTAAGGAAACCTGATAGGGATCTTTCTTAAGAATATAGGCCCTTTAGCTCAGTAACTCTGGGTTGGAATCCTGACTCTATTCCTTACAGACTGTGTGGGCTTGTACAAGTTAGCTAAGTGCCTTTGCCTCATTTTCCTCACATATCATTAAGGATGATAATACTACTACCCACATCAAAGAGTCATTGTGAAGATTAAATGAAATAATCCATGTAAAACACTTAGCCCAGTGACTGCCACATACTTATTATAAATAAACATTAGCAGTCATTATTACTATTGTTATTTAAGAAAAATATATATAAATTACTGCCTTGCTGGATACATTTTTAACTCTAGATTTTCAACCATATTGTCAGTTGGAACAAATGATTGTGATGGAGTTGATGTGTAGACACAGAACCACACCACCGTAGAACAGGAAGGGTTCCTGATAACATCATAGTGACAGTCAGGATATCTGTACCTGTTGTATTTTATTATCATCCAGCGCCAGGATTTCCAGGTTCTTCAGTGTAAAAATCTGCAAAGGAATGTGTTCCAGCTGGTTCTGGCTAAGATCCAGGAAACGCAAGTTAACCAGATGCCTGAAGGAGCGCTGCAGACTCCGTAGACCTGTGTTGTGCAGATAGAGCAGGTGCAGCGAGGTCCACTTATAGATGAGGTGGGGCACCTTCTCTAGGTGGTTCCCATTCAGCCCTATTTCTGTCATTTCTGTGAGTGCAGTGAGGGTGTGTGGGATGCAGTGGAGGGAGTTATGGGAAAAATCAAGGACTGACATTTTGCTGCAGTGGCATAGTGACTGGGGTATAGAGGGCACATTGTTATAAGCCACATAGAACTTCTGCAGCATTGTCAGGTTTCCAATCTCTTCTGGAATGGAATTTAATTTGTTTTCATCCAGGTCAATGATCTCCAGGTTGTAGAGAACACAGAGTTCTGGAGGGAAAACTTCAAATTTGTTTTGACTCAGGTAGATCTCCCTCAGTTTGGTCTGGTTCACTATTTCCTTGGGCAAAGATTTTAGGAGGTTTCCCGACAGTCCAAGTAGCTCCAGATGGTGAAGGGATTTACAGATCGCAATAGGAAACTCCCTCAGGTAAATCTTGTAGAGCCGGAGTTCACGAAGGGTGCGGATGTGGCTGATAACTTGGATGGAGGAGGGAAGGATGGGGTTGTAGCTGAGATCTAGGCCCTCCAGCCTGCTCAGCTCCCCCAGCTCCGGACACAGCTTCCTCAGTTTGTTCTTATTTAAGTAGAGGATCCTAACATTTTTTAAATGCTGAATATTCTGAGGAATCACTTCAATCTTGTTATTTTCCAAATGTACTTCTTCTAATTCTTTTAATTCTAAGATCTCCAGTGGAATGGTAGTTAGGCTCTGGTTAGAAGCATCAATGAAAAATGTTCTATCAGTGATCTGTTGTTGATTATCTCTCTGAATTTTAGATAAATGTTCTACTGATTTTATAATGTCCATTGACATTATTTTGAAGGAAGTTCAAATATTCAAAGCCTGAAATATTGTGAAAAGAAAGGGGTGGGGGAACAGAATTTACCTGACGTCACACATAATATCCTTAAAAAAGATTAAGTTTAAATTTAATTCATTCAATTTAGTACTTGAATTTATAACAGAACACAAAATTTAGGTTTTTGTGTTTCTTATTAGAAGAATTGAAGTATAGACTCCTCTTTCTCCTATCAAGTTCACTCATATATAAAAAAGAAGAAGGCGGAGGAGGAGGAGGAGGGAAAAAGACTGTCTTACATCAATTTTTAAAAATGTCTATCTTGATGCTGCTTCCAAGTAAGGATGAAAAGGTTGTGAGAGATCATTTCTCCTATATAACAATGAGAAAAAGTCAGAAACATTGAACAAGCAACCAGTACAGTAGTGAAGTGAATACTTAATCAATTAAAGGGCAACGAAAAATGGTAGAAAAGTCTTATGGTATTTTTATGTAGTGCCTAAGGCATTTGACTGCTAACTAGAAGGCTGACAGTTCAAACCCACCAGCCACTCCTCAGAAGGAAGTTTGGGCAATCTACTTCCGTAGTAATACTGCCTCAGAAACTGAAGGAGTGTTCGCTACGAGTCGGATCCGACTCAATGGCAGTGAATTGACCCACTCGCTCCCTGGCTCAGTGGTAGTCTAGAAGACAACAGTCTACCTTTCCAGGGGAACCTGTACCACAGTTTTGGAGAAAGCAGAAGAGACCTTATTTAAATATTATTTTGTTTGCTTTAATCTGTCTCTGAACTACATGAAAGCCATTAATTTTTCTTTTTGCCTAAGTAGGACCCAATCAGGTTGGAAAAGTGGAGTGGATTGGCCAAAAACACTGAAAAGTGATTAAAAAAGCCATAGACATCTGCAGCAAAAGATTACGGTTGAGATATTCAATAGACTGAAAATCAAGGAGGAAGCTGGGAACAGGGAAGTATTTATTGGGAAATTAGGACATGCAAAAATATTTATGTGTACTAAGAGATTTAGAAAGACACTTGAGTGCCCAAGACAGGATGCATGTTCAGAAAATTTCTGAAAAGATGCAAAGCATTCACCACAGGCAGATCTATATACTCAGTGCAAGCAGGAAATGAAGTCTGCAATATTATAAATGGCTTAAATGTTAAAGGAGTGCTCCAGCACAGGGTTAATATGGAGAGGTTTTTGTTTGTTTTGTTTTGTTTTTAAGCTCCTGGTGTTCAAGTAAATTTCAGTCAAAATTTAAGCTAACACTTCCACAATCAAGAACAGCAAAGCCCTTGGGAATGGAAAGGAAATCTGAGTTCCAGAGTTACCACATTATAATGTTCAAATGTCCAGTTTTCAACAGAAAATAACAAAGCATATAAAGAGACAAAAAAACATGCTCCATTCAAAGGTAAAAAAATAAATAAATTGACAGAAGCCATTCTCAAGGAAGAGTAGACATTTGGCTTACTAGACAGACTTTTAATCAATTGTATTGAATATAGGGAGCTCTGGTAGCATAATGCCTAAGGCAATTGACTGCTCACCAGAAGGCTGGCGGTTCAAAACCACCAGCCACTCCTCGGAAGGAAGGTTGGGCAATCCTACTTCCAGAGTGATACTGCCTCGGAAACCCAAGGAGGGGTCGCTATGAGTCGGGGCCGACTCGACGGCAAACAACAACAACAACAAGTATTGAATATGTGCAAAGAGATAAAAGAAACCATAGACAAAGAATTAAAGGAAACCAAGAAAATGATGTATGAACAAAATGAGAATAGCAATAAAAAGAAACCGTTATATAAAAGAAACCTAATAGAAGTTCAGTTTGTCATATTGTGGTGGTTTGTGTGTTCTTGTGAGGCTGGAGGCTGTGCCACTGGTGTTTCAAATACCAGCAGGGTTACCCATGGTGGACAGGTTTCAGTTGAGATTCCAGACTAAGACAGACTCAGAAGAAGAAAGAGGCCATCCACTTCTCAAACAACTGGCCAGTGAAAACCTTATGGATAGCAGTGAAACGGTCTGATATATTAGTGGAAAACTTAATGAATAGACCTGAAACATTGTCCAATATAATGCCAGAAGATGAGCTCCTCAGGACAAAAAGCACACAAAATATGACTGGGAAAGAGCTGCATCCTCAGAGTAGACCTGACCTTAATGATGTGGATGGAGTAAAGCTTTCAGGACCTTCATTTGCTAATGTGGAATGACTCAAGATGAGAGGAGACAGCTGCAAACATCCATTAATAATCAGAACATGGAATGCATGAAGTACGAATTGAGGGAAATTGGAAGTTGTCAAAAAATGAAATGGAATTCATAAACATCAATATTCTAGGCATTAGTGAGCTGAAATGAACTGTTTTTGCCCATTTTGAATCAGACAATCATATGATCTACTATGCCGGAAATGACAAATTGAAGAGGAATGTTGTGGCATTCATCATTATGAAGAATGTATCAAGATCCATCCTGAAGTACAATGCTGTCAGAGATAGGATAATATACATACGCCTACAAAGAAGACCAGCTATTACAACTACTATTCAAATTTACACACCAACCACGAAAGCCAAACATGAAAAATTGAAGATTTTTACCAACTTCTGCAGTCTGAAATTGACTGAACATATAATCAAAATGTGTTGATTATCACTGGTGACTGGAATGCAAGAGTTGGAAACAAAGAAGAATCACTGGTAGTTGGAAAATATGGCCTTGGTGATAGAAATAATGCTGGATATTGTATGATAGGATTTTGCAAGACCAGTGACTTATTCATTGCAAATACCTTTTTTCAATAACACAAATGGTGACTATACACATGGACTTCACCAGACGGAGTATACAGAAATCAGATTGACTACATCTGTGGCAAGAGGCAATGGAGAAGGTCAATATCTTCAGCCAAAACAAGACCAGGAGCTGATTGAGGAACAGACCATCAACTGCTCATATGCAACTTCAAGTTGAAGCTGAAGACAATTAAAACAAGTCCATGAGAGCCAAAATATGATCTTGATTATATCCCTCCTGAATTTAGAGACCATCTAAAGAATAGATTTGATGCATTGAGCACCAATGATCAGAGAAATTGTGGAATGACATCAAGAACATCATCCATGAAGAAAGCAAAAGGTCATCAAAAAGACAGGGAAGGAAGAAAAAACCAAAATGGATGTCAGAAGAGACTTTGAAACTTGCCCTAGAATGGAGAGTAGCTAAAGCAAATGGAAGAAATGACAAGATAAAAGAGCTAAACAGAAGATTTCAATGAGCAGCTCGAGAAGACAAAGTCAATTATTATAATGAAATGTGCAAAGACATAGAGTTGGAAAGCCAAAAGGGAAGAACACGCTCAGCATTTCTCAAGCTGAAAGAACTGAAGAGGAAATTTAAGGCTTAAGTTGCAATATGGAAAGATTCTATGGGAAAAATATTGAATGATGTCAGGAAATATCAAAAGAAGATGGAAGGAATACACAGAGTGACTTTACCAAAAAGAATTGGTCGATGTTCATCCGTTTCAGGAGGTGGCATATGATCAAGGACCAACGGTATTGAAAGAAAATGTTGAAGCTGCACTGAAGGAACTGGTCAAAAACAGGCTCCAAGAATTGACAGAGTACCCATTGAGATGTTTCAACAAACAGATGCTGTGCTGGAGGCATTCACTCTGCTATGGCAAGAGATCTGGAAGACAGCTACCTGGTCAACTAACTGGAAGAGATCCATATTTGTACCCATTCCTAAGAAAGGTGAGCCCACAGAATGTGGAGATTGTTGAACAGTATCATTAATATCATATGAAAGTAAAATCTTACTGAAAATAATTCAAAAGTTGTTGCAGCAGTATTTTGACCGAGAACTTCTAAAAATGCAAAGTGGATTCAGAAGAGGACATGGAATGAGGGATATCATTGTTGATGTCAGATGGATCTTGGCTGAAAGCAAAGAATACCAGAAAGATGTTTGCTTGTTTTATTGACTATGCATAGCATTCGATTGTGTGGATCATAAAAAATTATGGATAACATTGAGAAGAATGGGAATTCCAGAACACTTAATTGTGCTAATGAAGAACCTGTATATAAACTAGGAAGCTGTCGTTCAAACAGTACAAGAGGATACTGCATGGTTTAAAATCAGGAAGGATTGCATTGGGGCTGTATCCTTTGACCATACTTATTCAATCTGTATGCTCAGCAAATAATCCAAGACTGGACTACATGAAGAAGAATGTGGCATCAGGATTGGAGGAAGACTCATTAACAATATGTGATGTGCACACAGCACAACTTTGCTTGCTGAAAGTTAAGATGACTTGAAACACTTATTGATGAAGACTGAAGACTACAGTCTGCAATATGGATTACACTTCAACATAAAGAAAACAAAAATCCTCACAACTGAATCAATAAGCAGCATCAAGATAAGTGGAGAAAAGATTGAAGTTGTCAAAAACTTCATATTACTTGGTCCTACAATCAACAACAATGGAAGCAGCAGTGAAGACATCAGACAATGTAATGTATTGGGCAAATCTGCTGCAAAAGAACTCTTTCAAGTGCTGAAGAACAAAGATGTCTCCTTGAACACTATGGTGAGCCTAATCCAAGCCATGGTATTTTCAATCACCTCATATGCATGTAAGAGCTGAACAATGAATAAGGAAAACTGAAGAAGAGTTGATGCTTTTGAGTTGTGGTGTTGGCAAAGATTACCGAAAGTACCATAGACTGCTAAAAGAACTAACAAATCTGTCCTGGAATAAGTTCAGCCAGAATGCTCCTTGGAAGCGAAAATGGCCAGACTTCGTCTCACCTACTTTGGTCATGTTGTCAGAAGGGACCATTCTCTGGAGAAAGATATCATGCTTGGTAAGGTGGAGGGTCAACAAAAAAGGTGAAGGCCCTCAAATGAGATGGATTGACACAGTGGCTGCAACAATGGGCTCAGGTATGGCAAAGATCATGAGGCTGGCACAAGACCAGTCAGT